CATACATGTGTACTCCTCTCTTCCCTCTCTATTTGTACACTGCAAATGAGACCTAAAAGACCACGAAAGCCTGCCTCAAAGAGAACACCAAAGTTTCCAAATTTTTTCCAAACAGAGACAAGCTTAAAACCATTGTCTCTAGGCGTTTTCAATCCAGTTCTCTAATTCAAATGTGTTCCTGAGGAGATAAGGAACCTTTCCCAACCTAGAAGCGCACCTAACCAGTCTCAGAACACCACATCCGATTGTACCGATTTTTGGTAACAATTTTATAAACCTTATCTCTTAAATCAAGCATTATTGACTGATTTCATGTACTCATGCATGTTCATGATGGAGTTTAGAACATTCTGAATCATTATTGGAAAGGTCTAACGCAGGAATAGCAGGATGCCATCGCTAGGGCAGGATGATAGTAAAGCTTCGATCTGGAGTTTTTAAACATTTTCAGGCCAAACGGAGGGTACCAATGGACTTGCAGCATGCCATTTAGGGGGATATGGTGGTTTTAGATCCTTAACTGTTGTTATCTTGCAGGGATGGTTTTCAAGCCAATCGGAGAAGACAACCAGAAAGTTGACTGCAGTGGCATATGTGTCACCCTTTTAACGGCCCATTCAAACCAAGCCGCACGCGTGTGTTTTTGAATTTCAAACGAGCCAGATGCATAATATTTGTATTTGTTTGTATCTAGATTAATGAATCAATAGCTGGCCCAGTGGTAGAATACATGCTCTTAAGGCGTACCCTTACTAGGTCATGGGTTCGACCCAGGCTGCAAGCAAATTTTCTTTTTTCTAACATTTGTTTCAGATCCATTGCGTATAAGGTTTAACAAGCACGTGATATGGCTTAAATCAGCACCATCAGATTATCATATCACAAATCAAGGGCTCCAAAAACAATGGTGACTATGGTGCACTCCAAAGCGTGCTTCCCCATTGGATCAAACATTAGCTCCTGGGCTCAAGTTGTGATTGGGCTTAACAAAATCTGATTTATACCCCCCTTAACATTTTTTTGCAGCACAACCCATTTGCACCTTTTTTTTTATTCCATTTTTAAAATTTTATTCTTTTCTTTCTTTAATAACTAATTTATTTTAATAAAAAATCGTAAAATCAAACAAAAATTAGATTTAAGATTTAATTTAATTAACTTGTTTTTACAATAAAATTAATTAATTAAAATCATTTTTGAGATTATTTTGTTAATTGAAATTGGTTAGAATTAATTTTGAATATCTTTTTGTTTCTAATTAAAATTAAAAACAACAAAAATATCTTTTTTTACACTTAGAACTTTTAGGGTTTTAGATGTTTCCTCTTTCCATTCTCTGCGCGTTATTTACATTTTCACATTATTTCTTTCATAATTTATGTAATTGCCCACAGTCTATAATAGTTAAAATTAGGACATTTACATTTCCCCCCATTTTGGTTTATATTCCCCCCATCCCGAAGCGATGTAATATCGTAGTTTAAATTCCCGCATCTTTATTTTGTCTGCATATATTTAACTGTTAGATATATGCTAATAGGTTTGCATGACAAGATCTAAAAGCAAACGGTAGAAAAACCTAAATATCCAAGATAAATGTAACTGAAACACAACTTACTTTGCACATGCACACCTCTAAGGTACCTCCACTTGTTTCCTTCAGAAAATAAACAGTCACGTCTCTCAAACGTGAGAAATTTTAGCAAAGACCTTTTGGTCAAAAGATCATAGTCCCACGACGACCCTTCGACGTTGCCTCGGTAAATGATCTTAGTACCTTAGGGTAATTGCTAAAATATCTTATGAGTTGCCTTTGTGACTGTACAATGACCCGCGCATGTCCTTCAAAACATCCAATGATAGGGCTACCTACCGACTAATGGTAGGATAGAACTATCTAAAGGAAAAGAGGAAAAGAACAAAGGCCATTCAAGTAGGTAGACAACTTGTAGTTTCTTGCTCACAAAACAAGACAATTTCTCACACATACACTCTATTTTTATAAATATTTTCAAAGACAAAAAATGCTTTGTACGCATTCTCAACGATACGAGAATTATTACAAAGTTCGCCGCACTAAAGCGTCTTTTCAAAAATATTTTCTAATACACTTAAAAGCATTTTCAAAGTGAGCTAGCAACTAAGAGCCCGTAGATAACTACAGATGAAAATGGTGCTAACACCTTCCCTTTCCATAATCTACCCCCTGAAATCAAAATCTTAAAAAAAGGTCTTTCCTGTTCTTTTCACCCTTTCCTTTATTAAATAAAAGAAAAGTCAGTGGCGACTATTGCTAACCGCAACAATTGCGATAAAATGCAAAACTAGTAAAGTCAGTTCTCCCACCGTATTACAATTGGATATTTGAAAAAGAGTCGTTACAAATAGTACTATGACGTCATTATCTCTTCCACATTTTAAGTTAGTGGAGAGGTAGTGGCATAAAGCTTTTCATACTATGTACTTTTGTACTGTGTTACCATTACATTCTTTCCTTCTGCACTTCAGAGGCTTTTGCGAGCATGAGATTAGAAGATAGAGTATAACATAAGGTCTTAAGAACTTCAAGTCTCCAGAGTCTTTAGAACTGCATCTTCAGATTCTTCAGCACTTAGTCGTGAGAACCTGTTGTAGCGAACCTTTGGATCAGAAGAGCTTCAAGTAATCAGAGTCTTAAGAACTGCGTCTTTAGAGTCTTTAACACTTGGTCTTCAAAACCTGTTTGTAGATAACCTTGGACCTTTAGAACTTCAAGTCTTTGGAATCTTCAGACCTTCCGTCTTAAAAGCTTTAGCACTTGGTTCTTTAAGAATCCTTACCTTCAGAACCTTGTTACTAGAAACACAAAGGCTTCAGCATCTGGACTTCATTTAGAAACGTTGTCTTCAGATCTTTTAACTTTGTCTTCTTTGAAACAAGTTGTCTTTAGAAACTAAATTTTTAGCATCTGGACTTTAGTAGAAACTTTGTCTTCATATCTTCTAGCTTTGTTTCTTGAAACACACTATATTTTAGAAACGCGAGTCTTCAGTATCTGGACGTAAGCAACAACTTTTGTCTCCAAATCTTCTGACTGGTTTCCTTAGAACACGTTGTCTTTAGAAGCTTGAGACTTCATTATCTGGACATAAGTAACAACTTCTGTCTTCAGATCTTTTGACTGGTCTCTTCAGACAAATATCATGACTTACACTTCAGAGTCTTCTGTAGTGTCTTGCTAATATTCAACAGAAATTGTGTAGCATAGAAGCGGGATAATTTCTCTTCTAATGTCTTAGTCACGTCATCCATCTGAAGTAGAGCCTTTTTGTTAAGTACTCAACAATAACAAACATTAGTATAACAAAATTGTTCATATAATCATACACATTTGTTATCATCAAAGCTCAGAGATGATATTGCATAACCAAATCTTATTCTTACAAGGAGAACGATAAAATATAAATAGGAAAGAAAAATATGGCACATGAAATAGCCAAAAATGGAGATAGTAAAATATAAATAGGAAAAAGAAATATGATACATGAAAGTGCCAACGAGATAAGAGTTAAATAATGTGACTTAAAAGATGTGCTGGACTAGGAAACATGTGACCTAAAGAAGGATAAAGATTTATGAAATGGGTGTCGACAAAGTTCAAAGAAGAAAATTAAAGTCTTTAGAATAAAAGAAACTTGAAGTTTGCATAAAAGGGAGATTTTTTTTTAAACACCAAGTGAACCTTATATATAGAAGAGAGGCAAACTAATCAATGACTCATAATAAAAGAAAATAAAGAGGCAATAAAATAATAGTTAAATTTCACCTCAAGAATACAACGACATTTAAGTGCATTTAAGCATCATAGGAAGAGACGAAAATATCTAGTCTAAAGACTTATGGCATGTGTCAAAGGAATTATGTGAAACATCTCAATAATTAGACTCAAATTTAATGCACCTATGATCTAACTTATCCAAGTCGACTATCAAACCTCTTATATTTCTCCAAACAACGACGTCAATGCAGGAAACCCAATATAATTCTCTAAAAGTCTTCTCACTACCACGCCACGAGAAGTTTTGGGAACAATTGCTCTGCTTCAGTCAAAAGCCAAATAAGAGAAAGCCCACATCTGCTCCATATCTAAAACATTTAAACTAAATATAATTTAAATCTACTTTCACTCACACATTATATCAATCTTTCACTAAAGTAGACGTTAAAGTGCTAATCTTGCATGTCAAATCCCTCTCCCGTACACCAAAAGAACAAGTCCACCGCAACCACACATTACATCACTTTTCACATATTATTTCTATTTTAGAACGAAAAAAAACTAAAAGAAAAACTACACTAACTACTTTAAAGATATAAATGAATAGATATTATAACTTTTAAGATTATTAATTTTACTAGATGTACTTATAACTTACCAACTAAAAATATCTTCATATGAATAGTATAATCTCTAAACGTATGACTTTATTCTTTGTTAACGAAGTTAATCTTTCTTATGTTAGAAATTTCTTTGTAAATATATTTAAAATAAATAATTTTGAACTTAATTTATTTGACTCTTTATTATATTTATAAAAATATATAAAAATTTTAAATTTAATTCGGTTTATCCATTATAAACCAATCACCCATCAAATCCATTAGTTTTTTTTTTTATCAAACATACCTTAAATAGATTATTTACTCCCATGTAAAAAAACAAAAACTTTTCCCTCTTTTCCCACTTTTCAAAAAGATTCCTAGGCAATTCGCATGCTTTGCCACGTGAAAATCCACATTTCACAATTACTACATCATCATACCCCAACTTAACACACACGCACACCGAAAGAGAGTGTTGTTGCAACAAGAAAAAAAGAAACCGAAAACTTGCAAATCGTCATCATCACGAACAAACCACCCAACCGCCCGTGGTATTGCACTTCTTGAATTCAAACAATTTCGGTTACAATTCAACTTTTTCTTCTTCTACGATCATCATTCATCTTCTTCAATCCTCAATGGAAAACCCTAGAAACGGTTATTTGAATGATGAAGACGAGGAAGATCCCGGGAGTGTTGACTCAACCGAATCACGATGGGTTTTCCAGGAAGATGAAGATCCGTCTGAGATCGATGAATACGATGCTTCTGATATTCGGCATCAATCTATGTTCGATTCCGAAGATGAAGATAATGCTGATCAGAGGCTTATTCGTACTGGTCCTCAAGTTGATTCGTTTGATGTTGAAGCTCTTGAGGTTCCTGGTGTTCATACGCATCACTACTATGAGGTGATTTTTTTAAAGTAATGCTTGGTTTTTTATATTCATTGATTACGGATAATTATCGATTGTTGTTGACGGTTCACTTCACATGGATTGGTTTTCAGTAATTATTACAGATTTTATTAAATTGTTTCTGTAGTAGTACTAGTATTTGTACTGTATTCTTTAGGTGTATGTTTGCTTCCACTTTTGGAGACCCTAACTTGATTGTAAAATTGATTTTGACTCCATAATTGATTCTTTAGCGTGTGTATGTTTCTGCGGTGAAAAAAAATTGATTCTGAGTGAATTGATTCTGACTTAAAGTGAATGGAAAGTAAGATGATTTATGTTTGGAATAGGTTTTAAAAAACGGTCGCAGTCGCGTGGCGGTCACGTTGCGGTCGCATTGGTACAGGTGTTGCGGTACTGATTGCGGTCGTCGCGATGTGAGTTAACCACAATTTATTCTTTAATATAAAAACGGTGATAACGGTATCGGTGGCACCTTTCAAAACCGTTCTTTTGGATAAATTCTTGCAAAAATGACTTGAAGAGTAAATTTCTATGTAAAAATCACGTTTAGACTCAAAAGCTACAAATCTTAGCTTCAAATATAATCAATTTTGAAAAGCTGAATCAAATCTACTTGAGAGCAACCAAACATGTCAAAATTAATTTTACACATCTATAATCAATTTTACACATCTTATTCTACATTGAAGCTTGAATTTAGAATTTTTGGCTTCTACCATTGATATTTAGCCTTGAATTTATTTTTCAAGTTTCAACTCATTTTACTTAAATATATATCCAAACAAGAATCACTTAAATACATATCTAAACAAGAATCTCTTAAATACATATCTAAACAAGAATCTCTTTACATAACCAATTCATTAAAATTATTGTGTTACCACGAAACCAATCACACATAAGATTTATTATATAGCTGTGTTGTGAATTCCGTTAGAATGTGTATGGTTTTAGAGTAGAGATTCATCTCATTTTTAATCCGAATTAGTTTTAGAGTTTAAAGATAGTGCACGGTAAGTGTAAAACAATTTTACACATACAACCAATTAGAATTCGTACATGTGCCATGTCATTTCAGTATTTTAAAAATAAAAATAGGTTTTATTGTGATGCATGTCTTTCATTGGTTGATATTTTACTCTATGAGTGCATTTCCTTTTTTCTCTTTGTTTTACATAATCAATTCATTAAAATTATTATGACACCACAGAACCAAACACACATAAGATTTATTATATAGCTGTGATGTGAATTCCATTAGAGTGTGTGTGGCGGCGATGTCGATTGGAATTGATGTTGTCTCTAGAATTGATTCTAACTTGAGACTAGGATTTGTAACTCTAGACTTAAATTGTGGATTTTACAGTTTAAACTCAAATTCATTATTCAAATTACTTTTACGTGGATGTATCCATCATAGTCATAAACCACTTTGCATTCAACTCTTTTAACAGAAATCAAGTTTACAAAATCATTTTGTCAATTTGAGTTTGTTTTTGTATCTGCTTTCTTCACCGTGTTGTGCTGTTGCAGGATATGACCATGGGAAAGAAAATTGTGTTGGCTTTTCAAACTCTTGGTGTTGTCTTTGGTGATGTTGGAACAAGTCCATTATATACCTTCAGTGTTATGTTTAGAAAGGCTCCTATTAAAGACAATGAAGATATTATTGGGGCATTATCACTTGTCTTGTACACTTTAATCTTGATTCCTTTGCTCAAGTATGTTTTTGTTGTTCTTTGGGCAAATGACGATGGTGAAGGTATGATGGTGAATTTTGTGTTTTAAAGAAAGCTAAAATATTCACTCCTATTTCTCTTTCTCCTTATATGTTCTGTCCTCGATCGGGTTTATATAATTATTTTGAAACCACTGCAGGTGGTACATTTGCATTGTATTCCTTGATTTGTCGTAATGCTAAGGTGAATCTTCTTCCCAATCAGTTGCCGTCAGATGCACGTATATCAGGCTTTAGGCTAAAGGTTCCGTCCCCTGAGCTCGAAAGGTCTTTAAAAATTAAGGAAAGGCTAGAGTCTTCATCGAATCTAAAGAAGATCCTACTATTATTAGTTCTTGCTGGTACTTCTATGGTCATAGCTAATGGGGTTGTTACTCCAGCAATGTCAGGTTACTTACTGCTCTAGTATTATGTATTTTGTAGCTTCTACGGAAATGCTTTTGTCACGTGTTTTTGGACTTTTGATTGATACTAATAGTATGATTTAATCACATCTCGTTGCTTGTGTTCATGGCCAGTTGTTGTTTTCAATAACCTTACTTCATACTAGTTCTTACTTTATAAAATTTTCTTCTTGCAGTACTATCATCTGTTAATGGCTTGAAAGTTGGGGTAGCTGCCATTAAGCAAGGTACCGTGTTAACCTATTAACAAACTCTTGTCTGTAATAGTTATTAATACCTGCATTTAATATTACCCACAGACGCATCCTGAGAACACAGCTTCTATCTTTCTTTCTCCTTTGAAATAAATAATTGTTGCTTATACATTAATAGTTATAGTTTTCAAGGTATTATAATTCAGTCTAAGTGTGTATGCGGAACGTCGTTTCTATAGTTTGGGAGACTCTGGTGAAAACTGGGAAAATTGGCTAAATATTTCAATTTTAGAATCACTAATGAAGTTGTATTAATTTTTTCTACTTTTTCCGTGATTATGCAGATCAAGTGGTGATGATTTCTGTTGCTTGCCTTGTCGTTTTGTTTAGTGTACAGAAGTATGGAACAAGTAAAGCCGGGCTTGCTGTAGGACCTGCACTATTTTTATGGTTTTGTTCTCTTGCGGGCATTGGTGTATACAATCTTGTAAAATATGACAGCAGTGTCTTAAGGGCTTTTAATCCTATTCACATCTATTATTTCTTTTCAAGGAATTCAACTAAAGCATGGTATTCTCTCGGGGGCTGTCTTCTGTGTGCAACTGGTAAACACATATGCAGGATCGTTGATATTGTAGATGTGATAATAATAATATATTCTCTCTTGTGTATATTTTGATTCTATTTATGTCTCTATTGTTGTCTATTTTTAAATCAATGTCTTGGTAGCAATTGCGATGGCTAATATTGATTTTCTCTAATTACTATCGGAGGTTTAATCAATTGCCCACTGGCATATATCATGACTTCGAGATTCCTTGAGGGTGAGTAGGAGCTGGTTTACTATATAGGGGCTATGTTTTTCTGCTGTAGCAGTCGTGAATATGGGATGCAAATGCCAACGGCTACCCAAAAATGTGATGCAGATGAACACACTAGTGATGCAATGCGTAGCTGCTATAGTATTGCTATTGTGGGCTATATATGATTCATGATTCTGAATAAAAATGCCCCGTGTTCAAGGAATAGTAGGAGTATTAATTTGTGGGTTGGTTATATTTTTCCTTGATTGCAAATGGAGTATGATTTTGTGAAATTCATGGGCAAATTTTACTATTATTTGAGAAGCATGTATTATTCCCATGAGAGTTGGCTGTATTAGTAGGATTAGATAATGCCAATAAAGTTGTAGTTTTGATTCTAGTCAGGGTTCTTTTGTTGAGAGGTCATTCGTAAGCACCACTGTAAGCTTTTGATTCGGCTTATGGCATGCAGACCTTGTAGCCAGACAAACTCCCCCTGAAGATGTGTTTTGGATTGTTTGAAATAGGATGAAATGTCATGAAATCTTATGGAACACATTGCATTCTATTTCATCCACCACCTCTATCTTGCTCTGCTTTTCTGGGGGTATGTTATTTATTAATCTTACTGTCAACCGGTCCACTTTTTAAACAATAGAATGAAAACTTTACTCTGTTTATCATACAAAAATATCCGGACAACTGTATGGAGATTTATTTCATTCTACCCCACCATTAAATATTTAATTAAACATAGACTAAATTTTTGCGCACCAAACAAAAATATCTTAATATTGTGATGTGGTAAATATGCAATTTACATTAACTATTTCTGGCATGTACAAATCTTTCCACTATCAGTTAATATTGTTATTCGATCATGTTACAGGCTCTGAAGCCATGTTTGCAGATCTTTGCTACTTTTCTGTTCGGGCAGTTCAGGTAATGGATCATCTATCATGGCTTCTGGTTGGAATTCTTTTATTTCTTTGGTCATATCAAATTATACATTGATGAAACTGATGCTGGTTTGTTTACAGCTTACATTTCTGTTTCTTGTTTTGCCGTGCCTACTATTGGGTTATTTGGGTCAAGCTGCATACCTTATGGAACACCATGCTGATGCTGGCGAAGCCTTTTTTACTTCTATTCCAAGTAGGTGTCTGTGTGTGTATTTGTGTTTTGCATTCCTTACAATGTCTCTGCACTTCACATATACTTCGGTGTAATACTGTTCTTTGTCTGTAGGCGGTGTATTCTGGCCAACTTTTCTCATTGCTAATATTGCTGCACTAATTGCAAGTCGGACTATGACAACGGCTACATTTTCTTGCATAAAACAGTCAACTGCTCTTGGTTGTTTCCCGCGTCTTAAAATAGTTCACACTTCTCGGAAATTTATGGGTCAAATCTATATTCCTGTCATAAACTGGTTCCTGCTGGCTGTTTCTGTGGTGTTCGTCTGCTCTATATCCAACCTAGATGAGATTGGAAATGCATATGGTAAATATTTTATTTCAAAATCTTTATTTTATCTCCATGAAATTTTCAAATTTATCCGTCACATACATATGCATTAAATTCTCTCTTAATATTTCTCTCTGGATGTCCTAGACTATAGTGGAAGAACAGTAATGTTGGAGGAGGAGTCTTGTTTAAGAGGACCCAATTCTTTGGTTCTACCTTCAATATTGTTGTGATATATATATATTATTAATATAACATAAAAGAGTATTTGTTTTCAGCCTGTTCCTTTGTCATCTTTCAGGCATTGCTGAGCTGGGGGTAATGATGATGACCACCATTTTAGTCACTCTTGTTATGCTTCTTATATGGCAGATGCACATCATCGTAGTGCTGAGTTTCCTGGTAGTATTCCTGGGTTTGGAGTTGGTTTTCTTTTCATCCGTTTTGTGGGGCATAACTGATGGAAGTTGGATTATATTGGTCTTTGCTGCAATAATGTTTTTTATAATGTTCGTCTGGAACTATGGAAGCAAGCTCAAGTATGAAACTGAAGTCAAGCAAAAGCTATCAATGGATTTAATGCGAGAATTGGGCTGCAATCTTGGGACGATACGAGCTCCTGGAATTGGTCTACTTTATAACGAGTTGGTCAAAGGAATTCCAGGAATTTTTGGGCATTTTCTAACCACACTTCCAGCAATACACTCCATGGTTATATTTGTGAGTATCAAGTTTGTTCCAGTTGCTATGGTGCCTCAAAATGAAAGGTTTCTATTTCGACGAGTTTGCCAGAGAAGCTATCATTTATTTCGTTGTATTGCCAGGTAACAAGTGCTACAAGTCTACAGGTGCATAATACTTTTTAGTAACATGCTAAAAATGCTATAGCTTCAAATAAATATCTCAAGGGAATAATAGTGATATAATATTGGGAAAATTTACAGAGATATCATATTAACCGCTCTTTTGGGTAGTCTGTTGGTTCATGAAAAGACAATATTTTTTATCTGAAAATATCGTGTTTAGTAATTTTTTCAATACTTTCCTTGTCATTAAAATATTGTTATCTATATGTCTGATCTGGACATTTATATCTCCACAGGTATGGTTACAAAGATGTTCGCAAAGAAAATCACCAAGCTTTTGAACAGCTTTTAATGGAGAGTTTAGAGAAGTTTATACGCCGTGAGGCTCAGGAGAGATCACTTGAAAGTGATGGGGATGAGGATACTGATTTAGATGATGAGTACTCTGGTACTAGAGTTCTCATACATCCGAATGGGAGTGTTTACTCACTCGGTGTTCCTCTTCTAGCTGATTTTAATGAAACCTTCATGCCTACTTTTGAACCTAGCACGTCAAAGGATGCACATCCTTCGTCGCCCAAACCCCCTGCGCTCGATGCAGAGCAGGTTCTAGAAAGAGAGTTATCTTTCATACGCACGGCTAAAGAATCAGGAGTGGTTTATCTTCTTGGTCATGGAGATATAAGGGCAAGGAAAGAGTCATGGTTTATGAAGAAACTAGTTATAAACTATTTTTATGCCTTTCTTAGAAAGAATTGCAGAAGGGGGATCACAAATTTAAGCGTACCACATTCACAACTAATGCAGGTTGGAATGACTTACATGGTTTGACACTCTGGCCATCAATTTTCCAACTCAATAAAAGTTATGAAATGAAACAAGTGTCAGGTAGATCGGAATATTCACATCTTGGAAAGTCTCATTTTTGAACGTGCTTAACTTGATCATCATTATTTGGATCCTCCCATTGAACATATTTCCAGCTCCACCTCTGGAAATTGTTTCAACTTTTCTTATGAGTCCGATCATGAACCGCGGATATATGGAATTGAAATAGATTGAGAACAGAAATAGACAGATACATGTAGAATTTGAACAAAAGAATGATATATGTGAAATTATATTTATGAAAAGAAAAAATAATATGCAAGCGGCTCTGTACACATTTTGTGAATGTGCAAAATCCCCTATTTCAATGTCATAACACAGTTTTGTACATGAGTAATTTATCTAGGATATGTATTTTTTCATTGGAATCAATTATTTGCTTGATTTCTTGTGAAGAGGCACTTAACTCAAATTTATGAGATTCTGTTTTCTTTTTGAAATGTTCATAGAAAATATTTTGGATATAATAATGGTTCCTTTTTTTCCTCAACACAACGTACATCACTCCTTGATATTGTGTATTGATAAACTTTCAGGTTACAAAATGCACACTGAAAATACATTTTATTTATTGAACATTTCAGACACAAATTGAAAGTTTAGACAACAAATACTAGAGCATAGAAATTACTATTTGATAATAAAAAAATAGACACAATGACTCAATGATAGCCAACAGGAGCTGGAGCCTCTTTCAATTCCTTTCCTTGATAATGAATATCCTACAAAAAGAAAGAACACAATATTCAGAACAAATGAAACAAAATGGAATAAATATATTATTAACCCCTTTTTAGTTTCTACAAAAAAAAATCTCTAAATTTACTCTCCACATATTCATGTTGATTGATTTTAGTCATCAATTTTTGACTACCGATAAATATATCATATCTTTCGTCTCAATATATCAAATATCTTCGGTCTTTTCTATAGAGCTATATTTATGAGACTAAATTTTGATAGAAACAAAGAACAAAAGTAGATATAGTTATAATTGATAAATTGACACTCACAGAAGCAAAGTGATTGACATCTCTATGATGAGCCTCATCAGCACGAATAACAGTAATAACATCCTTAAGTGTTGCATCCTTAGGAAGTCTCCAATAATCAATTGCAATAGCAGGAGCAGGTACATTTTCAACTTTACCACTTTCAATTGCATCTAAATGCTGTGTATATGAAATCACAGCCTCTTCCTCTAAATAACCAACAAACCTATGCGCTGTTTTCGGCGAGAGAATGTAAAACACAAAGAATGCATTGAAGAAAACACCTTGTGCTGTAATAACCAAAAGCCTCTCATGCCAATTTGGTTTCACAAGCTCAACCATTGTCATCAAATGCATCCTCTCATTCTCTGCTTCCTCGAGTAATGCTTTGATCCAACCACCAGTGTGTTGGAATTTTCTCAGAGATTTCAAGTGTAAAAGCATCCCTCCTACCATTCCAGGGACACCCGCAATTGTTTCCAGCATCATTGCATGGCATCCGTACCGTTCCTGCAGCAATTATAGTTCAAATGAATCTCACACATAACCAACACTACTAAGTGATTATAATTGCTTGGAGGGAGAGTATGGCGACCAGGGTTGGGTTCGAAGTTTGAACCCTGGTTGCCACATAAGTTGTCTTGACAGTTAAGTCACTAGGCTGTAACACTGAGGACAACTTTTACGCTTCACAAAAACACAAATTATAGTTCAGATTTCAAAGTTTTACCTTGAAATACAAATCGGAGAGAACCCTTAGAAACTTGACAGATCTGAAAGCAAACTTGTCAGCTAATGTTTTTGGGACATGATGCTTGGTGACATCTATTGATACATCTGAGCTATAACTTTCCCATGGCTGCATCAGACATCATACATAGAAAAACAAAACATGTCATGTAAAACATCATCCATATACATCACCATGATATATAAGAATAACACGTACCATGAAACAGTTCCATGGCCACTCAGTTCCATCTTCCTTAAGAAGTTTAGGCCTAGCGATCCCCCAGTAACTCGAAACAACGGCTTTGCTGTTCTTATTATTGACCTCGTTTTTTGTTCTTGTTCTCCTCTGGCTGCTGATCTTTTTTCTCTGGCAGAGTAGACATCCTCTGCAAGTAGAAGCTTCCATACGCGCCGTCGCCGTGCCGGTGTCTCGGCTGAGCGATCGCTGCAGTTGAGAAGTTCCGGCTTCTGCGGAGAAGAGCTTGTGCTGTTGACCTTACTAAAAAGTGTTTCATGATGAATGTTTTTTTGGATGAAAACAATAGTTTAGTATTGGAGATTAATTTATAGTTATATAGTTTTGGTATTCAAATTTGTATTTGCTACGAGGTGAAGCAAAGAAGAAAGGTCGAAGAAGGTTGAAGCAAAGAAGAAAGGTCGAAGAAGGTTGAAGCAATATGTGGTTACTTTTGTTGGTTAAATTAATGAGTTTATATATTGAGTGATTGATTAGTTGCCACAAAGTTGGAATTGAAAATGTTCAGTCAGAGCTGAGGGTCTCTCGTGGCAGGCACTGATACTTTGTATACTTTTCTCCTCCCTTGACTATTAGTAGTATTTCCTTTTTTGATTTCATTATTACTATTTTTTTATTGGGTTATTACTAGAGTTAAATAAATTTTTGGTCTTTTTAAATATCACGTTGTTAGTTCTCTAAATATTTTCTTTAAAGAATAGTTTATCTAAAATTTTTCATTCACACTTTTGGTCCTTTTTGTTAACGTCTGTTAATAAAG